CCCGGCCCATGAATTATTAATGTAGGTTATCATTATTGATTATAATAGTTTGCTGTATGATAGTACCGTAATTAAACCAATCCCTTAAGGTTGGTTGAGTTGGGTTCACTTTTTCTTTATTTAAACACAACTACTACCACAAAACAACAACACTGATCAGCATTCATACAGCCAGAACGTAGGGTTATATTATAATTATTTCTTCAGTATGAATTCTTGGAGGCAGAGTTTCGAAGTTAGGATATCTATAGAACTGTTTTCAAATATAAAGATGATACCTTGGAAGATCTGTAGCTTAGAGTTTATTATTTAATTTGTTGTTGAGTAACTTAAATTAGAAGCATTAAAAAGAATATGTAGCTGTTAATGCTACAATTTATGTTGAATAATGGTCATGTTAAGTGTTTTATTTATTGCTTTATTTACATATTATACATTTCTCATGATTATGTATGTGTTTCAAAGGCTATAGAATTGCTGTTGACATCTGGATAGTTATAAAGCCTAATAAGATAAGTTTATGTAACATCTTTCTTTGACAGATTAGTAAGTGGGTGTTCTTAGCAACTTCTCTGCTGTGTACAATCCTTGGGCTTTAGACTTTTACAGGCCACTTTTAAACTCAACCTTTAGCACTTACCAGATATCTGATGGTTAGGCTTCCCACCTATGAAATATTGATGATACCAAGCTCACAGAAAGTTGTGTGGATTAAATGAAGCAAATATGGAACTCGCCAGAGTAGTTCTTGATAGATAATAAATGCTCAAATTAACTTTACTTCTTTTCTTAGTATAGGTAGACGGTGAGACATTTCAGTTACCAAAGGTCTATTTCTTAAATATGGAGAGGCCAACCTGATTTTTCAGATTAATGAATCTCTGCAAGCATATAATTTTCAGTGAGAACATTATCACTATTAAAAAGGACACATAATTATAATTGACTAAATGAAAAGTTTTATTTTTTGGACAGTTGAACGGTATTTCTCTTGGGATATATTTATTCTTTTGTAAGAATTTTATCATTTACATGTTATAGAAACTGTTGGACTTAATAGAAGACTTGAAAAAAAAACTGATAAATGAAAAAAAGGAAAAGTTAACCTTGGAATTTAAAATTCGAGAAGAAGTTACGCAGGAGTTTACTCAATATTGGGCTCAACGGGAAGCTGACTTTAAGTAAGTTATTTCTTTCATGTCCAGTTAAAAATGGAGAATTTTATTTACTTTTTTAGATTTTTTTTTTTTTACTTCATTTACTTGTTTTTATATTAGATGGCTTCTGAATTCTGATCTCTTTATGCAAGCTAGAAAACAGCTGTTATTGGTCTGGTGTGGTAGCTCATGCCTGTAATCCCCGCATTTTGAGAAGCCTAGGTTGGCGGATCACTTAAGGTCAGAAGGTCAAGACTAGCCTGACCAACATGGTGAAACCTTGTCTCTGCTAAAAATAGGAAAATTAGCTGGGCATACTGGTGTGTGCCTGAAGTCCCAGCTGCTTGGGAGGCTGAGAAACAAGAATCTCTTAAACCTGGGAGGTGCAGGTTACAATGAGCTGAGAATGTGTCACTGCACTCCAGCCTGGGTGACACAGCAAGACTCTGTCTCAGAGGAAAAAAAAAAAAAAGAAAAAAAAGAATATAGCTGTTACTAATCCCATGCATGGCTATTTAAATTTTCTCTCTCTCTCTCTTTTTTTTTTTTAATTTTAACTTTAATGTTTATTTTTTGAGATGGAGTCTTGCTCTATCACCCAAGCTGGAATTCAGTGGTGCGATCTTGACTCACTGCAACCTGCACCTCCCAGGTTCAAGCAGTTCTTCTGCCTTAGCCTCTCCTGCCTTAGCCTCCCGAGTAGCTTGGATTACAGGTGCACACCACCACGCCTGGCTAATTTTTGTGTTTTTAGTAGAGACAGGGTTTCGCCATGTTGGCCAGGCTGGTTTCAAACTCCTGGCCTGAAGTGATCCACCCACCTCCACCTCCCAAATTACTGGGATTACAGGCGTGAACCACTGTACCTGGCCTAAATTTTCTTTTAATCCAGAATATACTTAATCTTAAATGTTTAAAACGATAACACAAAGTAGTTACGTTTCTGTTTCTTGATGGAATTAATTTGCATTCTGAAGGGAAACTCTGCTTCAAGAACGAGAGATATTAGAAGAAAATGCTGAACGTCGTTTGGCTATCTTCAAGGATTTGGTTGGTAAATGTGACACTCGAGAAGAAACGACGAAAGACGTTTGTGCCACAAAAGTTGAAACTGAAGTACGTTAATTGAAGTATTTAAAAATATCCAAGGAGGTTTTGGTACCAGGGTTTAGTGTACCACATCAATGATGAGAAACATCACGATAGTTTAGAATTAAAACAATGCTTAGTGTGTAGCTTTATTATAGTTAGGCATGTTTTGTTAGGAGTATAAGGCACCAAGAATTTAAATATAGTGATTGGTCATTGAAAAATTTGTACCTCTGTTATATTTATATCTTATTTTGGTATTGCTTGAATCATTGTATTGTAGGCAGATAGATTCTTTGTTGCCTGATTACAGAATAACCCCCTCAGATTTGTCTCACTTTTAAATTAAAAATATTTTAAAGGTATAAGAGACCTAAGACGTGATTTACTTGCTGTTCTGTTTAAAACAAAAATGTTTATATATAAAAACGGTTGCCCTTGCTGGGCAACTACCATTCCTACTCTTTTAAAATTTTATTAGTTTATTTATTTATTATAGTTTTAGAGATAGGGTCTTGCCGTGTTGCCGAGGCTGATCTTGAATTCCTGGCTTCAAGCAGTCTTCCTGTCCAGCCTCCCAAGTGGCTGAGATTACAGGTGCATGCCGCTGGGCTCAGCTTATTCTCTGCTTGTAATATAAGAAAAATTATCCTTTTCTGCTACTTACACTGAAGCTGAAATTGATCAGTTTTTTGGGGGAGTTGTTTTTTTTGTTTTGTTTTTTTAATCACTCAGTTCGGGGGCCTGTGACAGTGATGTCCAGACGTCTGCTGTCAGGCAAACCTTATGTATCCTTGACATGGTTTGGGATTGACTGAGTTGTGAAAATGGAGGTTTGTTTTGTGCACCATCCCAACAAAACCTTTTAAGTCTCATTATATAATTGAAACTATACCTGAACTAGGTAATCATAATTGTTTTATAATGACTTGTCACAGTTTATAACATTGTTTTTATGAGAAAATATGCCTCATGATCCATACAACAGAAAATAAATAATGGAACACAGGTTCTTCATATTTGGAAATGCTTCTATATAATTTATTTTAAAGAATTTCTGTTGGTGAATTTTTTGCTTTTTTAAAAAACTGTCTAAATTAGATGGTGCCACATGTAAACGGTGAACCCTACTGTTAATATTAGGCATGTGGTTTTTGCTATTTTTAGGAAACACATAATTTTGTAGGATTTGAAGATATTATTGATTCTCTTCAAGATAATGTGGCTGATATTAAGAAACAGGCTGAAATTGCTCACTTATATATTGCATCTCTTCCTGACCCCCAGGAAGCTATTGCTTGTTTAGAACTAAGGTTTAATCAAATTAAAGCTGAATTAACTAAAACCAAAGAAGAATTAATCAAAACGAAAGAAGAGTTAAAAAAGAGAGAAAATGGTAAGTGGATAAATTTTACCTCTATATAGATATTGTAAACACATAAAAAATACTCTTGGTAAGTATAAGAGATTTATGTAGCTCATTTACCATAGTGACCAGAAAATTCTTTCATCTAGTTAACATATTTTAATATTTTACCGTTTGTATGACTTTGTAGTAATTTACTACTAAAAATATTTTTTGACCTTCATTTATTTTAGACCAGTATTATTAGAAAATGAGCTTCTCAACAACAACAAAAAAATCAAAAAAGTGTTAACTTTATGAGTAAAGCTGTAAATTTTAAATGACAGCGTCTCACTCTGTCACCAAGGCTGGAGTGCAGTAGTGGCATCACAGCTCACTGCAGCCTTCTACTCCTGGGCTCGATCCCTCCTCCTGCCTCAGCTTCCTGAATACTTGGGACCACAAGTGTGTACCACCACAGCGGCTGCATATTTTTTTTTCTTTTTTGTAGAGATGGGGTCTTGTTATGTTGCCCAGGTTGGTCTTGAACTCCTAGGCTCAAGCAATCCTCCCTGCCTCAGCCTCCCAAAGTGCTGGGATTACAGGCATGAGCCATACTGTGCTTGGCATTGTTCTATATTCTTGATGAAGTTTTGCAGTATAGAAGATTCACTCTTGGGAGAGAGTAACTACTGTGGAGTGGTTTAAAGTAGATTGTTAGTTTGATACTTCATTCTAATTCTAACTAGGAGGGCATTTTCTTTGTTTCTTTCCCCCTTTTTTTTTTTTTTTTTTTTTTAATGACAGGGTCTCACTCTGTCACCCAGGCTGGAGTGGAGAGACATGATCATGATCATGGCTCACTGCAGTTTCCACCTCCTGGGCTCAAGTGATCCTTCCACCTCAGTCTCCTGAGTAACTTGCATTACAGACATGTGCCACTACGCTGAGGGCATTTTATATGCGTAAATAAAATTGTTTGTAATATCTGCATTTTAAGAATTAGTTGCAATAACTGCTCTGTCCTTTTTTGTGTGAAACAAGATGGGTAGAAAATAACATGTAAGTGGTGCCTCTGCATTATGAAATGTACTAAGAAGGCACTAGCTCCTTTTCTTCTCTGACGTTATGCCAGTTCTTTACTATTTAGCATATGCTACCTATTTTTATCCTGAGTTTTAGAAGTGGCTTTTTCTGAAACATTACCCTGTTGTGGTTGAATTAGCAGATTTTTTTTTAATGAGTAGGGTGTGCATTTAGTGCTATCAAAATCCTTTTTATTGAATGTGACAGTAAAGTGTCACTACAGCAGCGTGTTTCATAGTTATTCAGTGATACATATTTTCAGATGCTTAGATATTTATTTTCAAAATTCTTTACTTTTTCAGAAACAGATTCATTGATTCAAGAGCTTGAAACATCTAATAAGGTAATGCTTTAAGTTTTATTTTGTCTTGATAAGGTATTTAATTAACAAAGGAGTATGAATGATGACTAGATGTGTTTATTTTAAAAAATAAACAGTAATATAGTCTCTTGGTATACATGGGGAATAGTTTTCTTCTGTTATTTTTTCTGTGTTCTGGCTTGAGTCTTCTTATTTCAACTTACATTTATCCTTTGAAAAAGCTGAATATTTTAAAATATGATAAGATATAAATAATTCAAGATCTTGGTATCTAATATCCAGTATTTAAAGAACTAAAATGTACTTAGAAGACATTACACCTACTGTTTATACAATTTCTATCTAGTATTTTTTCTACTTAATAGTAGACACTAGTTGTACCAATTATATTAAGCTATATAAAATAGAAAATAAAGAATTTCCCATAATCTTCCTAAATTTAAAACGAAACCAAACCAACTTGTTTGGAAGCTCTTTAGACTGTTACTTTATATATGTATTTATAGAACACTTACCATTTACCAGATACTCTTTTAAGTGCTTTTTATTAACTCATTTAGATGTTAGAGCAACTTTATGATGTAACTTGCCCCGGCTGACATGGTTTTTTTATTTTTATTTATTTATTTCTTTTGAGACAGAGTCTCGCTCTGTTGCCCAGGCTGGAGTGCAGTGGCGTGGCTTACTGCAGCCTACACTTCCCAGGTTCAAGTGATTCTCCTGCTTCAGCATCCCGAGTAGCTGGGGTTACAGGTGGCCGCCACCACCCCAGGCTAATTTTTGTATTTTTTAGTAGAGACGGGATTTCACCATGTTGGCCAGGCTGGTCTCAAACGCCTGACCTCAGGTAATCTGCCCACCTTGGCCTCCCAAAGTGCTGGGATTACAGGCATGAGCCACTGTGCCTGGCCCAGGGTGACATATTAAAAGTATAGCAGCTAGGATTGGAACCCAGGCAGCCTGGCTCCAGATTCTTCTTACATGCTATATAGCTTCCTTTTCTTTGTGTCCGCGTGTGTGTGTGTATGTAATTTTTTTAAAGGCAAAAATAAGACGTTGTGCATAGTGTGTTGCCACCGATTATCTTTATTTAACTTTAAAATCTGAAGGAGTTATGAAACTGTATTATTAATCATGTTTGCTTTCTGGTTATCCCAAAGTATATTCATGAAACATTGCTTTTTCTTCTTTCCAAAGAAAATAATTACACAGAATCAAAGAATTCAAGAATTGATAAATACAATTGATCAAAAAGAAGGTATTATCAATGAATTTCAGAACCTGAAGTCTCATATGGAGAAAACATTTAAATGCAATGTAAGAATTTAACTTTGCGTTATATTAATAAATTAGATAAACAAGTGTATGTTTTTATTGAAAGGAAATAATTTAAAATAGCTTATGCAACTAAGACTAATTTACCGAGAATGTTGAATTGCGTATGCAACATTGAACTCAATTTACTGTTCTCCAAATCTGAATTTTTGAGAACTTAAACGAGGGTGTTTGACTCCTTTGAACATACTTTTCCACAAAATATGCTGGCAGTGCTTTGCACGTAGAAAGGAGAAGAATATGTAGCTTTTGGACGTTTAAGCCTCAGGTAGTTGGAAGGAGACCTTTGAGGAGAAAGGAATTTAGACATACTTAGAAAACCAGATTATAATGTTTCAGGGAACTATAACATGAAATTCAGTAAAATTAGGTTTTTCCTTAGAAGCTTGCTTTTATTATATGTCTTGTTGCTATTGTTTATATGCTTAATAATAGGGATTTTTTCTAAAAAGTTATACACTGTGATGTGTAAAGACTTAAAGGGTTCTTTGTCTTTCATACAAATTTAGATAATTTCATATTTAGTTCAGCTTAGAATGATCAGCTTGTCTTTTAATCCTTTTTTTAAAAAATGGCTTTGGTTTTCTTTTCTGGGGGTAAGCTCCTTCAAATCATTTTTTTATATAGAAATGGTAAAATATATGGTAATAACATAGTAAACTGAGTAAACTTAGAGCCAAACATTTTGCTTTGTTGAAAGGTGTTTTTTTCTGTCTTTTCTATGATCAAAAGAAGCAGGCGTGGTATCTTATAAAAAGTGACTGTTGAGTTTCCTTTGTATCTTGATAGTCAAACTCTAATACCCACCAACATTCCCTGAATCATCTGAACTTTAGATGGGCTTTTGAAACCACAGGGATAAATGAGGAGCATACTAGAAGAGCACTCTATATAATCTCCTGTAGCAGGCCTTTCTTTTGGTATTTGTTAGATACATTATTCAATCTCTGGCTTTTCTGTACCTGAACTGGGAGAAATATCTTAATATTTAATATGTTAATAATTAACTAGTAAATAATTAGTATTTAATAAGGTGGAGGAGCAAGAAACACTTATGGAGTGTCCAGTGTGTGCCAGGTACTATGCTAGATTATTGGAATTATACAGATTAGTAAAATCTACTCCCCTAACAATCCCCCAATAAGAAAAAAACAGCATAAATATAGTTATAATACAGTGTGCAGTCATAGTCAATGTGTGAAGCTGAGAGTGGGTGGGGAGTTAGGAATACTTTGTGGAGATGAAAATGATTAAGTTGAGCCTTAAAGGGTGAGTAAAATTTAACCTTTTGAAAGTAGAGGAAGGGGACAATGGTAGTCATGAGAGACAAGAAGATACATTGGCCTTCCGTGTACCAGAATCGGAGTGCACAAAGTCGTGGAAATGAGAAATCTTTCAATGAGTGCAGGAAAATACAAACAATTTGTTTTTTAGGAAGAAAGTTTGAAGCAAGGAGAGGTGAGAAATGAGGCTAGGAGTAGTAGAATAGGATAAGATGAAAGACCTTGAATACTGCATTAAAGAGTTCGGGGAGTCAGTGGGGAGTCATTTTCACCAGAGGAATAGCAAAGAGGAGTTTTTCATTTGAGTAGATATTTTTAGAAACTTGGAAGATAGGATTGAGATGGAATTAGACTACAGGCAGAGACCAAATAGCTACCTCTTGGTAGAGTTCAGCTAATAGTTGATAAGGACTTCGATTTAGGGTGGTAGCGGTAGAGATTAAGGAAGAGGAAATTGATTTGTGAAGTAAGGGGATGTAAAACTTTTGAGACTTGGGGCAGTAAATTAATTGCTGGGCCTCCTGGCTCTCGGAACTTTTATTTGGTTAGTCATCACATGCTTTTTGCTGTCATCTCTTGATCTGGATTTTAAGTCTGTTCTTTGATTTGGTAAATAAAAACAAAAAGGAAAGCCAGAGACGGATCATTTCTGGCGACTACAGCTTCAAAGAAAATAGTTGGAAATTTCACGTGGGATTATATTTATTTCTGTAGTATGTTTGCATACTATATTAGAGCTATTTAAGGAAGTGATAGTAAAAAAAATCATTATTTGTAAATTAGTCCTTGCTTATAAATAAACTTTATAGATTCTAGACCTTGTTTTATCAACTAACTTAATAACAGTTTGCTAAATTTAAATTATTCACTTAAATACATAAAAATATGCAACGTAGTTTGAAACTTACCTAATTGTTTAACAGTTGATGTAGGGTCACTGTTCCACATCTTGTCTTGAGAGCAAACTCTTTCCAATGAAAAAATTTAGTTTGAATTCTTTGTTTTATCTACTCAAGCATACCTTGGGAGCAGAAAACCCTCCTTTCAATAACTATGACTTCTGAAGGATAGATTTTTGGTGAGGATTGTGTATTTTGAAGCGGGGGAAAATGACAGATCATTCTGATAGGTACTAAGGATCGGGAAAGGAACAACTTGGACTTGTTATGGAGCTGTGTCAGAGGTGTGATCTGCCTCTCCCGTGATTTTCATTTATCAGTGACACTAAGGGACTAATTGTGAGAAAGCATGGAGATTCTTCTTTATGACATCCTTTGTTTAGGGATAGCTAGAAAAACTTTGCCTTTTTTCTTAACCCATTACTTTATGACTTTAAAAAGTTATTTTTATCTGTATCTCCTGCTATTAAAATGTTTGCTGATTAAGCGGCACTCTTTATCATACACTTTGTTTTTTCAAATTGATTGCTACAAGTTTCTGCCTTTACCATACATTTGATTACACTATAGACTTGCACTTAAATGCTGAGTTTTACCCTTCTTCTAAGTTCGTATTATACCCTTTTTTTGGGAAATTCCCCCTCCCCCCGCCCCCAGTTTTCCTCGTTTCTTTCTTTTTAGAGGTAGGCTCTCATCACTCTGTTGCCCAGGCTGAAGTGCAGTGACGTGACCATGGCTCACTGCAGCCTTGAACTCCTGGACTCAAGAGATTCCGTTGCCTTAGCCTTCTGAATAGCTGGGACTGCAGGCCTGGGCCACAACACCTGGAATTTTAATTTTTTGTAGAGATGGGGTCTCACTGTGTTGCCCAGGCTGGTTTCAAACTTCTGGGCTCAAGTAATCCTCTGGCCTCAGCCTCCCATAGTGCTGGGATTACAGGCATGAGCCCCTGTGCTTGGTTGCTGCTAGCCTTTTTAAGGAAGGCAGTCTGCCTTAAAAAAAAAAAGTCTAAATGACGTATCTAGAAGCTCAGTTTCAAAGCTGTCTGTAGACTGTATATCTTTGAATATATGTCGACTTAAAGCTAAGGTCTAAACTATTTTTCTAGGAGTTGTTAATGTTTAAGACAATGCTAATTTTTAAGAGGCTTTGGCTACAAAACAAAATAGATAGTTGAGTCTCATATTTTTCTTTTCAAAGCACATTTCTGGTGTGACTTCAGAGATTTATCTTCTTAAGATTCTCCAGTTATCCCCAAATGTTACTTATTTGCTAGAGCCATCAGTTATTTTAGGATGAAACTTAAGATATAACTTAGAAAATGTCTCAACAAATTTGAAAATAAAATTTTTGTGATACACTAATGAAAGTAATTTATGTGGTTTGTACATTTTTTGTGGCTTTCTCTATGTGAATTATTTTTAATTTATTTTGCTTTAGGACAAGGTTGATACATCTTCTTTAATAATAAACAGTAAATTGATTTGTAATGAAACAGTTGAAGTGCCTCAGGACAGCAAAACTAAAATCTGTTCAGAAAGAAAAAGAGTAAATGAAAATGAACTTCAACAAGATGAACCACCAGCAAAGAAAGGTACTACTTCAGCTGCCAGCAGCAGGCGTTTAAGAAAGCTAATTTCTAAAGCAGTAAATAGAACAAGGCAAACAGAGGGACATTCACTTGTCTAAGGAAAAATCTTGAGAAAATCTAAATGTCATGAATTTTTATTCTGGAAAGTTATAAACTGTCTAGGGATGGGCATGGTTAAAGCTTTTATCTTAATAAATATGCTTTTAGAAATTGTGCTTTTATTATTTCTTTCGCATGTCTGTAGTAATTTCTGTGCTTATAATAGGTAAAACTCATTACTTTGATTTTTATAAATACAGTATTTTCTGCCTAAATCCCAGCACATTATTTTGTTTTCTTAGTTTGCATTCTTTATTCATGTGGAGAAAAGGATATTTTACAGTAAGACTGTGAGCTAAATATTACTAATAATAAATGTATTCAAGCTGTATTTGTGATGCCAGGACACAGTCTGATGAAAGATAATACATGTTGAAGATTATTTTTTAAAAAATCTTTAAGAGTAAGTGGGCAAGTTTGTTTTAAATATAAAGAAGGGCAAACCTTTGAATTTTAGAGGAGGTAGGCTCTTTAGAATAAACTGAAAGTCTTGAGGAAATAAATAGGAAAATGTAAATTGTAAACTTAAGAAAAGCTTCAAAAATAAACTTAGCAGCTTTTAAGAAAATACAGCAGGGATAATGCCATATTTTACCCCTTCCTCTTTGAGGCTGGAGAGAGAGTGTAAATTATAGATACTAAAACCTTGTCCAGTGAGCTTTTAAAATTAATCTGTTTAAAAGAAAAGAGACCTTGGAATCCTATAATGAGATTTCTCAATTACAGCTTCCCAAGAACATTTAGACAATTGAGTGAAACAAAAAAGAACATGGATTGCATTTGAAAAATAAAGACTTACAAATAAAGGTTGTTTTTCATATATACAGTATCGAAGGTAAAACTAGATAAATTCTAGATGGGACAGGGAGGTAAGATTCCCATATTATATAGTGATTCTTGGGTGGGGGCATATTCTCACTGGGGGGAAATCAGTATCTTGAGAGAGCTGGGGGATTTTAATTTATCAAAAGGGGTCATAGGCCGGGCGTGGTGGCTCATGCCTGTAATCCTAGCACTTTGGGAGGCCAAGGTGGGTGGATCACCTGAGGTCAGGAGTTCGAGACCAGCCTGACCAACGTGGTGAAACCCCATCTCTACTCAAAATACAAAAAATGAGCCTGGCGTGGTGGCGCATGCCTGTAATCCCAGCTGCTTGGGAAGCTGAGGCAGGAGAATTACTTGAATCTGGGAGGCGAAGAGTGCTGTGAGCCGAGATTGCGTCATTGCAGTCCAGCCGGGGCAACAAGATTGAAACTCTGTCTAAAAAAAAAAAAAAAAGTGGTGGGGGAGTGGTCATAGTATTAAAAAACCTTGAGAACAAACAATCACATAAGTTTTTTATTCTCTAAATTGTAGTAGTACCTGAGGGACCTTTCATAAATGCTTTGACTTTTCCTTTATTTTGCTCATAGCTTCAACTGTGATTAGTATATAGGGAAATAGAAACTCATTTGTATATGGCATGGCAAATTTCAATTTAATGAGCTTTTTAATGATCTCAAAAGTATTGCTTTCTTCATCAAACAGATTCATTACATGTGCATCCCGTGGCCTACTATCATCTCACAACTAGGATGTACAAGAGCCTGTGAGAGGCAGGCTAAAACTTCGGAGTTTGAATCTCATAACTGGCTCTTAAGGAACAATTACATGCAGCAGTGCTGTCAATTAAGGACTTTGTAATGTAACAAACTGATATGTTAAGATCCCAAAGGTATTACAGAGGTCCCTGTCAACTTCTTGAAGTTTTCAAAAATAGTACCCCAGAACACTAATTCTCAAAATGTTGCATGTAAAATACATCCCAGACTTACCATATCAATATATTTGGTGTTTGGTAGGAATCTGCATTTTAATAATCTCCCTGGATAATTCCTCCCAAAAAAACTAGAAAATCACTCATGTGTAAATAAATGTTTTTTAGTGTTTAAAGAGAGAACATTAAAATTTTAAACATAAAGTTACCATAAAGTAACAAAATTAATATAACTGGAATATGTCAGATTCATGAACTTACATACATCTAGAAGCAGAATAAATTACTATTGCAAAAACCATATTTATAAAGATTGTTTTCTGTACCATGATATGTCTTAGAGATAGAAAAGAAGAACATATGTGGTGTAGTTAAGTTTCAAAAATATTACATTTAGGATTATTATTTTATTTAGGTCTGTTGTTTGTGATGAGAGAGATATAGGGAGTCTGCCATCAGGGAGTTTAAAATCTAGTAGATGAGAGAGACAAACATATTTCAATAAAATATAAAGAGCTGAGATGCGTAGGATAATATTCGGGACTCATTAAAAAGAAAACTGTACAATATACTTTTTAGAGTCAATTAGATACCAATGGAAAGTAATAGGTTTCTTAACTAGACGGATTTCAAGCCAACCCTACCTTATAATTGTCTTCTGCTCTTATAGATTAGTAACCCTTGTACTTCATATTATATCTGGGATCATTAAACATGGAGAAGTTGATTCTTACATACTTAGTGAGGATACCGCATAAAAATACAGGTTAATTAAACAAAAATGGTCAATGAGGGAGTGAATGGGGGTCAGAAGAACATATGGAATTGATTGTATTAGAGCAATGTCGTGCAGAAAATTCACATACAAATTATACCAGAACAATGTTGTAAAGTCCATTTATAAACATCATATAGACATCAAACCGTGAAGAATAACAAAACAGGAAAAAATTTCTAAAAATGAAGAGTCAGATTCTGGCCTGTTTTGAAGTAAGGTTTCACGGATCTGAGACACTTATCTGACCCTTAATGGAAATTGTATGAAATATAAAAAGATATGTAGATATAAATTTATATATCTAGAAGATTGTTAATTATATTTCAAGATTTAATCATAGAATCTATGAGGAAAGTTTAAAATTGTGTAATTTATACTGGGCACTTACATGGAGTGAGTTTATTTGTCAGAGTGAACTTATGAATTAAATTGTAGCTGATAATGTATCTGTTCTGGGTATAATTTAATTTGTATTGATTATAATGGTTAAAGTTCTTACATGTGCATAACATTTACAAAGTCATTTAACTTAAATTATATATTAACTCATGTTAGTCTCTTAGCGTTATTCTGTAGAGTAAGTTGGGCAGGTAGGGATATCCTTATTCTAGAAATATAGATACGAAGACTGAAAAAGGCAGACTTGTATGCATTTTCAATTAGTTGAACCCTCATGTACAGATTTTCAGGTTCTATTAATAGTTAAATCTATCCAACGCACAGTGTTGTAAACTCATTTGTCGTCTTGATCTTCACAGCTTTGAGATAGGTGGTATTATTCCTATATCACATTTGAGGAAACAGTTGTAGTATGAAGCAGTTTATTGATGATTATAGCTAGTAAGGCTATATTATATGAATTCCCAAAATTTTAACATTTCCCTTCCAATTTTAGCTATGAAAATTTAAGATATTCCATTTGCCTATCACTAATATAGTAAAAGCTGCAATATAATTGTAGTTTGAAACTGTTCTTTAGGATATGGAATGTCTGCCTAGGGTTTCTCGTCGTCTCCTCCTCTCTGTCCCATATTAAAATGATAATAAACATTTGTGGTACAAAATTTAAATAATACTGAAAGTTAAAAATAGCTGGTAATGCTACTCAGAGGTAGGTAGCTACGATCATTTTGGTGTACGTCCTTTGCTAATTTTGTATTACCTTGTGAAATAATAATTTTTACATAAATGGGCTCATACCATACGTTTTGTAACCTGGTTTTTCTTTTTTTCTCAACAGCTTATTTCATTTTTTTTAATTAGAAGTTTACTTTTACATGTTTTGTATGTTTGAATATTGGCTTATATGGTGACTTTTTGGTTTTATTAAGGTTTGCCAGATTAATAACAATTTTCTTATTTTTAAAGGATCTATCCATGTTAGTTCAGCTATCACTGAAGACCAAAAGAAAAGTGAAGAAGTGCAACCGAACATTGCAGAAAATGAAGACATTAGAGTTTTACAAAAAAATAATGAAGGACTGAAAGCACTTTTACTCACTATTGAGAATGAACTTAAAAATGAAAAGGAAGAAAAAGCAGGATTAAATAAACAGATTGTTCATTTTCAGCAGGAACTTTCTCTTTCTGAAAAAAAGAATTTAACTTTAAGTAAAGAGGTCCAAGAAATTCAGTCAAACTATGACATTGCGATTGCTGAATTACATGTGCAAAAAAGTAAAAATCAAGAACAGGAGGAAAAGATCATGAAATTGTCACATGAGATAGAAACTGCTACAAGAAGCATTACAAATAATGTTTCACAAATAAAATTAATGCACACGAAAATAGACGAACTACGTACTTTTGATTCAGTTTCTCAGCTCTCAAACATAGATTTGCTCAATCTCAGGGATCTGTCAATTGGTTCTGAGGAGGATAATTTGCCAAATACACAGTTACACCTTTTAGGTAATGATTACTTGGTAAGTAAGCAAGTTAAAGAATATCGAATTCAAGAACCCAATAGGGAAAGTTCTTTCCACTCTAGTATTGAAGCTATTTGGGAAGAATGTAAGGAGATTGTGAAGTCCTCCTCCAAAAAAAGTCATCAGATTCAGGAATTGGAACAACAAATTGAAAAATTGCAGGCAGAAGTAAAAGGCTGTAAGGATGAAAACAATAGACTAAAAGTAGAGGAGAATGAGCATAAAAACCAAGATGACCTACTAAAAGAAAAGGAAACTCTTATACAGCAGCTGAAAGAAGAACTGCAAGAAAAAAATGCTAGTCTTGACATTCAAATACAGCATGTAGTTGAAGGAAAGAGAGCACTTTCAGAACTCACACAAGGTGTTACTTGCTATAAGGCAAAAATAAAGGAACTTGAAACAATTTTAGAGACTCAGAAAGTGGAACGTAGTCATTCAGCAAAATTATTAGAACAAGACATTTTGGAAAAGGAATCTGTCATCTTAAAGCTAGAAAGAAATCTGAAGGAATTGCAAGCACATCTTCAGGATTCTGTCAAAAACACCAAAAATTTAAGTGTAAAGGAAGTCAAACTGAAAGAAGAAATCACACAATTAACAAATAATTTGCAAGATATGAAGCATTTACTTCAATTAAAAGAAGAAGAAAAAGAAACCAACAGGCAAGAAACAGAAAAGTAAGCTAAATGTTATTCAAAATATTGTAAAATACACAAAGCATTCATTTTGCTATGCAGCTTTAAAAAAATTAGATGGTCATAATCTGGTAAAGCGTATTATGTATGATGAGTGAAGAACTTGAACTTTGTCCATATAAACCTTTGGACCATAGGTTATATGAAAAGATCAGCTTATAAAAATCATATGAAATCTTTTCTGAAGAACTCATTCATAGTTTGGATATTCCAAATTTGTGAAAAGATGTAATTATGTAAAGATTGTTACCGTTTCACATGTGTGGTCCTAAGTAGTTAATAATGTGTTACCATAGAAAAGTGGTTTGTATTTTTTAGATTGAAAGAGGAACTCTCTGCAAGCTCTGCTTGTACCCAGCATCTGAAAGCAGATCTTCAAAGGAAGGAAGAAGATTATGCTGAGCTGAAAGAGAAACTGACTGATGCCAAAAAGCAGATTGAGCAAGTACAAAAAGAGGTAGATTATTTGAAAAGTTATGTGACCAGTTTATGATAAAGATTGTTTTCCTTATATGTCAAACTTAGACATTAATCTTAGGATTGAATAGAACATTTATCCACTTTATAATTTTTCTTAAAATTACGAAAACAGTTACTTCACAAGAGAAAATTTAGCTGATTTAAATAAGCTGAAGAATGTCCAACATTAAGAGAAATATGTGCCTTATGAAAGATTAGTCTTTTTCTTCTTTAAGAATTGCTAAATGTAAGTCCTTACAAAAAAGTGGAAAGCAACTTTTGTTTACCGATAGTACTTAGGAGAATGTGCAGTATGATTTTTTAGTTTTTATTATAATTTAATTTTTAAATAGGGAATGCAAACACATTATTCCAAATTTGAAATATAATAAGATATATACAATGAGAAAGAAATACTTCCCACTCCTTCGAGCTGTCAGGTTTACCTTCACGGCATCAAATGTTACCAGTTTCTTTCTTTTTCTGCACTTCTCCCTCCTTCCCTTTTTCTTTTATGACCACTTCATTTTCTGTTGTACTCAGACCTTCTCGAAAGATTGGAACCCCCTTTTTTTTTTTTTTTTACTTTGAGGTAGTTACTAAAGAATACTTAAATGTGTATGGTCTGACAAATATTAATACAACAAATGCTGTTTCTGCCACTATAAAAGTGACTACTGAAAGTTGTATTTATCTAAACTTTAAAAAAAATTAATTTCACCATATTTGGTTTTTAATTTCTAAACAGTGTTTTCTTCTCAGACTTTTGTTTTTCACATCATATTTCTGAGACTGATTTATTTTATAGTCGTAATTAATCATTTTCACCTCTGTATAGTATTCTGTTGTGTGACTTACCGCAATTTATTTCATCTCTTGTTGATGACCATTTAGATGGTTTATGATTTTTTTGCCCACAGCAATAGTGCGAATATCTTCTATATGCTCTTGGTACACATATGCAAAAGTTTATATACCAAGTGGGGAGTTACTGCGTCAGAGGATATGAAAGGTTATCTCATGGTAGTTTTAATTTGTATTTTTTTGATTGCTAATGAAGTACAGCTTCTATTCATATTTCTGTTTGCTATTTGTCTATCCCAGTTTCTGCTGTGTGAAGTCATTTGTTCATTTTAATTGTGCTGTCCTTTTTTTTTTTTTTTTAAAAAAGAGTATACAGTTTTTATTTTGTATTTATTTATTTAAAAAAATTTACTGGTTTATTATAAAAAAATATAACTCAAGAACAGACAAATAGAAGGGATGCACAGGACAAATTAAGGGGGATGGAGGGTGGTGCAGAGCCTCTGTGCCTTCTCTGGCTGTACCACCCTCCCAGGACCTCAATGTGCTCACCAAGTGGGGCGCTCTCTGAACCTCACTGTACAATGGTTTTCATGACTCAATCTCCAACCCTGCTCTCTTCCACAGAGGTTGGTGGGTGGGACTGAAATTTCCAACTCTTTAATCATTTTTGGTCTTTTGGTGAGTAGCCCTACCCTTAAGCTATTTCAAAAGAGCCTCCAGTCAAAGCTATTTCATTAGCATAAATTCAGGTGTGATAAAAAGGGGACTCTTTTTTCTAAGTTTATTTATTTCGTTTTGAGACAGGATCTTACTCTGTCACCCAATCTGGAGTGCAGTGTCGTGATCATAGCTCACTGTAACTTTGAACTCCTGGGCTCAAGTGATCCATCCCCGCCTCCCTAGTAGCTGGGACTACGGGTGTGCCACCATGCCCTAGCTACTTTTAAATTTGTTGTATTGTTAAAGTCTTTTTGTATTGCTACTTATAGAGGTATCTGTTTTCAAGTAATGTTTTATTGTATAGATAGTGAGTCCCCAGCCTTTTCAGTACCAACGATCGGTTTTGTGGAAGACAGTTTTTCCATGGACCAGGGTGGGGGTTACTTTAAGGATGATTCAAACACATTACAGTTATTGCGCACTTTATATTATTATTACATTGTAATATATAATGAGACAATTATACAATTCACCATAATGTAGAATCAGTAGGAGTCCTGAGCTTGTTTTCCTGCAAATAGACGGTCCCATCTGGGGGTGATGGGAGACAGTGGCAGATCAGCAGGCATTAGATTCTCATAAGGAGTGCACAACCTAGGTTCATCGCATGCAGAGTTCACAATAGGGTTTGCGCTCCTATGAGAATCTAATGCCTCTGTTGATCTGATAGGAGGCAGAGCTCAGGCAGTAATGTGAGCGATGGGGAGTGGCTGTAAGTACAGATGAAGCTTCACTCCCTTGCCTGCTGCTCACCTCCTGCTGTGTGACCCAGTTCCTAACAAGCTATGGGTAAGTACTTGTCTGTGACCAGGAGGTTGGGGATCCCCCCTCATATAGGTGACTATTTAACATTACTCTAGTAATGGGTATTAACAGTATTTTCTATTTCTCAAATGTGTAGTTTTAAAGCAAATAATAATAATTGTAGCAATTTAGTCTAGGCCAGCTACTATGCTGAGTTGACAAATTATCTTAATTAATCCTCACACAATTTGGGGTATAGACACTGTTTTTAACTTCCATTTTGTTGATAAGAAAACAGACATTGAGAGATATAGTAGTCTTTCTGTGGTTTCAGTTACCTGTGGCCAACCATGGGCTGAAAATACTAAATAGAAATTCCAGTAATAAACAGTTCAGTTGCAGGTCATTCTGAGTAGTGGGTCAAAAGCTTGTGCTATCCTGTCCTGCCTGGAGTTGGAATTATCCCTTTGCCTAGCATATCCACATTGTTTGTGCTACCTGTTAATCACTTAGTCATCTCAATTATCAGATCACCTGTCATGGTATCAGGGACAGTGTTTGTGCTCAAGTAACTTTTATTTTACTTTATAACGGTCCCAACATGCAAAAGTAGTGATGCTTGCAATTCAGATAAGCCAAAATGTTCTTGTAAAGGGCTTCCTTTAAATGAAAAGGTAAAAGTTCTTAATAAATAAAGAAAAAAAATATTGTAATCTGTGATTGCTAAGACCTATGGTAAGAACAAATCTTCCATCTGTGAAATTGCGAAGAAGGAAAAAGAAATTTATGTTAGTTTTGCTGGTGCACTTCACTGCAAAAGTTATAGCCACAATTCATAATTTCTTAACTAAGATGGAAAAGGCATTACATTTGTGGGTGGAGGATGCAAACAGAAATGTGTTTCGATTGATGGCATCTGAGTTCAATACTATCCATTGGGGATCTTGAAATACTATCCAATGTTTCAGATATCCACTGGAGATCTTGAAACATATCCCCTGTGGATAAGGGGGAACTTGTCTAAGTTCACTTGTCTTAGTCTTAATATGACTTGTCTGAGTTCACTCAGTAATAAGTGCTAGAGACAGAATGGAAACTGAGGCAGTCCTTACATGCATCTTTGTGCAGCACATAGCCTCTATTATTATTAGTTATATAGTTGATGAAGATGGTGTTTATTACTTGAAGCCTCATATTTTTAAACAAAATAAGCAAATATTGTGAATATGTGATTATCATGTATGTATTATTGGAACATAAAGCTTAATGTAAGAATCCCCTGAAACCATACCACTCTGACTGTAATAAGGGCATCTTCATGCCTTTTTTTTTTTTTGTGGGGGCAGAGTCTCACTCTGTCGCCCAGGCTGGTGTGCAGTGGCATGATCTCAGCTCACTGCAACCTCCGCCTCCCGGGTTCAAGCGATTCTCCTGCCTCAGTCTCCCAAGTAGCTGGGACTAAAGGCACATGCCACCATGCCTAGCTAATGTTTTTTGTATTTTTAGTAGAGACGGAGTTTCACTGTGTTAGCCAGGATGGTCTCGATCTCCTAACCACGTGATCACTCGCCTCCACCTCCCAGAGTGCTGGGATTACAGGCATGAGCCACCGCGCCTGGCCTTCTTGATGCTTTTTATGGGGCATCTTTTCATTTAATTTCCTTCCATTTTTGAGCTCTCTAGCGGGTGTGAAAATGGAGTTTTCGCAGTAAAGCTCCACAAGGGAATAGAAGAGAAGGCTCTGCTCCCAGTTAGATAACTTCCCTCCGGAAATCCTGGCAAGATGTACTGAAAGGTTTCAGAGAGGGTTGGTATGATGGAAACTGGTATAAGGATGTATCTATATTAGCTTTTTTGGGTGAGGAATTATTTATTAGTCCATAGAACCTCGATTTCCCTATGTTTATAGAATTAGATTACTGGCAACCGCAGAAATCAATTGACCTTCACTTGCGTGGCTACCTTTTGATTTTGTGATTGTTTCATTTTCTTCTCTTCATGTCATTATTAGCTTTTAAAGTATTTCTTGTATTGCTGGATTATATTACTCAGTAAACTTTGGAAATTTGAATCAATATTTTTCCCTCAGAATAGCTTTATTGATTTTTCCTTGGTAATTATTTTCCTATTATGTACCGATGTTATGATTCTTTTTTGAGAGAACTTACAAAGTTTGAGATTCTTAAAATAATGGAATGAGAAATTGAATTTTTCGTATGCATTCTTTATTAGAGTATTAAAACATTTTCTATTAATTTGAAGCTGTAGTGTGTTTGATTTGTAGTATGTTAGAATCTGTCATTTTTCTTTTAGGCTTTAAAGGATGTGAACTTTGAACATAGTTGCCATGAATTTTAAATAACAAAAAGCAATTGATATTTTCAAAATATTCCATTTGTTTTATAAACATTATTTTGTAGGTATCTGTAATGCGTGATGAGGAGAAATTACTGAGGATTAAAATTAATGAATTGGAGAAAAAGAAAAACCAGTGTTCTCAGGAACTAGATATGAAACAGCGAACCATTCAGCAACTCAAGGTAGACAGTTTTGTTTTTAAAGATGGTTTAAATGCATTCTCTTGGTATATTTTAGTGTACAAAAATGTACAAGTTTGTTTTTAATAACATCCTGTTTTGACTTTTTCTAGAATCTAGAAATAAATTATTTAAAATTAAATAGGCAAAAAAGAAAAAAAAAAAGATAAAATTAAGTAGGCCAGTAGTGACTCTCTTCTAACAAATAGAGTATGGAAAAGAAAAAGTAATAACTTCATAGTGAAGAAACCTAGCAAATACCACTTTAACCAAGTGTTTAAGAATAACTTTACCGTTAGTCATATTGATGCTATGTGCTTCCTGGTTTGATGTGACCAGAAGAGCACATCCCCTCTTTAGTATTCTTTCCCTAAATTTATAACCTCAATCTCTTTATGAGAACACATCAGACAAACCCAAATTGAGAATGTTCTACTGCTTGACCAGTATGAAGTATAAAGTGTCAGGGTCATTAAAGACAAGTAAAGACTGGGGAACGATGGTGAAGTCTGGAGTGTAATTAATAGTAGTATACCAATGTTAATTTCTTGATTTTTGACAAATGTACCATGGTAGTGTAATATGATAACGTTAGGGGAAGCTAAGTTCTTTGGAACTCTTGCAAAGCTAAAATTATTTTGAAGTAAAATGCAAAAAAATAGTAGTAGTCCCGGTCTTACAGCAAATTCCTTTTAAAAATGATACTTAAACGGCAAAATCCCTTTATTGTATATGGTTATTTTTTGCTTGTTATCAACCAAATGGATGAGGCAACAATAAAAAATATAATTTGTCATATTATTTTCATGTTTGCTTTTAAATGAAGCAAACTAATGAATATTCAGGTATAAATACGTGATTTTAATTCTTAACTGAATGTAATCGCAATAAAGCATTCTATAACAATAGGATCCTAGATCTCCATGTTCTGTAATGATTCACTCTTAAGACTTACAAAGTGAGGAGATAATGGTGACATTAGATAAGATTGAGGGTGAAGTTTGGATTACATGATAAGTTAAAACTAGAAGTGCAGGATATCTGGTCCCCATAATTTAATCTTGCCTCTTAAGGCTTATTTTTTTCCAATCCTGCAGCTACTTTCTAGGTAAAAGGGATGGAGAGCTCTTTTTTTCCTTCATCAAAGTTTAAGTTTACCAATGAGGAATCTTTTAATGGTTTTTCTTGTTCCTTCTATGTTAAATACACAGTAGAACTTCATTTTCCCCTGTTTCTGGTTTTTGTGGTTTGTAAGAAAATATTTACCTAAAATGTTGAATAAGTAAAATAACTGGGTCATAACTTAGATTAAAAGTATAGGCCAGGTGCAGTGGCTCACGCCTGTAATCCCAGCACTTTGTGAAGCCAAAGCAGACGGATCACGAGGTCAAGAGATCGAGACCAGCCTGACCAACATGGTGAAACCCCGTCTCTACTAGAAATACAAAAATTAGCTGGGCGTGGCAGCACGTGCCTGTAATCCCAGCTACTCAGGAGGCTGAGGCAGGAGAATCGCTTGAACCCGGGAGATGAAGGTTGCAGTGAACTGAGATTGCGCTACTGTGCTCCATCCTGGGCGACAGAGGGAGACTGCATCTCAAAAAAAAAAAATAATGATAAGTATAAAGTGGTTCCAAATTTACTTTTATTTTTATTTTTGAGACCGAGTCTCGCTCTGTCACCAGGCTAGAGTGCAGTGACATGATCTTGGCTCACTGCAATCTCAGCTCACTGCAATCTCTACTTCTTCTTTCCCCTGCTCTCACCCTACTCTTTTCTCCAAGATGAAAGAAAGTTGGAAGACTGGTACTAGCTGGTATACCAGCCATATAGGAGACTGATTTCAAACTTAATATTGAGCCCTGTTTTCAAGATCCACTGTTAAATATTGTGTTTTTAAGTTAATTTGCATTTAATTCATATTCTCTCAATTTGTAGGAGCAGTTAAATAATCAGAAAGTGGAAGAAGCTATACAACAGTATGAGAGAGCATGCAAAGGTCAGGAACAAGTTTGTACTTCTAGAACGGGAAAAGTTCCCTTATTCCCCTTGCAGGGCATGCGATGGGGGTATGGCTTGCTTCATTGGTGCCCTCCAGCTCAAACCCCTAGAGGGGGAGCATGCAGACGGGCAGGTCTTGAGTGTGGGCTCCGACCCCATGGCAGCATCTAGGGTTGAGTGTTTACAGCTCCTGAAGCCCCAGTAGGTGTGTGTTACAGGGTGTTCTTTCAGCCTAGCCATCCACAGGTGGCTTGTGTTAATCAGCTCAGTTAGACCCTTTGCCTTATCTCAAGGACAGAGGGCTTTGTGTATCCCGGGATTCTTGTTCTAGTGTACTGGAAAAATCGGATCACACGTGGGCGTGGAGAATGAGTGCAAGGTTTTATTGAGTGGAGGTAGCTCTCTTCGGATGTATGGGGAGCCAGAAGGGGATGGAGCAGGAAGGTGGTCTTCCCCTGGGCCGCCGGACTCTCATCTGACTGCCCCCAACCGAATTCCCTGTGTCGTCTCACAGTAGATGGCCTGCCAGCATCTGCTGGTATCTGCTGCTGTGTTCTGCCAGTGTGTTCCTCTAGACGTTCAGCTGCTTGTGTGTGTGCCTGCCAGGGTCTCAGGGGTTTTATAGGCACAGGATGGGGGCGTGGCAGGCCAGGGTGGTCTTGGAAAATGCAACACTTGGGTGTGAAAACAGGAGTGCCTGTCCTCACTTAGGTCTGTGGGCACAAGTCCGAAGGTGGAGCCCTCGCCAGGGACCCTGCCTTTCTGTACCCAGCACTTCCCCTGCCTGCCTCCTGTATCACTTCTAGTACTAAAATGATTACAAAATAGGTAGTTGCAATGACAATTGGTTAACATTTCCTTTGACAATTCTGAAGTGAAGTGAGGGCAACATAAGATACAGCTTTATTAAAGGAGAAAAGTAGTGATACTAATGAATAATTTATTAACTTAAAGATTATTCTTAGAAAATTAAAATAAATAGTCAAAGCAACGTTGATTTCTTGTAATGGCCAGTATTTTGTGAAAAATAAAGCCAGTCAAAGTTTTATATAGGTCACAATGAATGGTGTAGATTTCTGGACAAAATTGTGTAAAGAATAAACTTCAAATAAAATATCTTTAAAATTAAAATGTGTATTTTAAAAAAGTTTTAAAAAGCTGCTTAGTAATTTATATTCAAATCGTAGGTGCTGAATTATGAGTTATGCTTTTCTTACTCAGATTGTATTGATTTGTTGCTTGAAATATTGCAAAATTACTTTTTTTTTTTTTTTTTTGAGATGGAGATTCACTCTTATCGTCCAGGCTGGATGTAGTGGCACAATCTCAGCTCACTGCAACCTCCGCCTTCCTGGTTCAAGTGATTCTCCCGCCTCAGGCTCCTGAGTAGCTGGGATTACAAGCACCCGCCACCATGCCTGGCTAATTTTTGTGTTTTTAGTAGAGATGGGGTTTTGCCATGTTGGCCAGGCTAGTCTTGAACTCTTGACCTCAGGTGATCCACCCATCTCAGCCTCCCAAAGTGCTGCGATTACAGGCGTGAGCCACTGTGCCCGGCCATGGAATTTCTTTTATAGATGATACTTATTTCTGTTATTAAAATGATACAGACTCCTCTCCTCATTACCCCTTAACTTCTTTGTTCTGTGAGTGAGAGAACTAGGATTTGAACCCAGGTGTGCTTCACTCTTAAGTCTCAGACTCTCTTTACTAATCCATGTTATTTGTACTTGGGCAACAAAAGAAAGGGTAAGACAACCAGATTATTACTTATTTAGCTGACTTGTACATTGGTGGGGTTAACTTGGATGGATAACTTGGATGTGAAAATATATCTCTGCACACAGTACTGTTTTCTTCTGCTTTTCTTAGGCCTTGTTACCCTAATAGCTCCTATTTCATAGGAAACAGTTCATAGCTCTCTTTTAGGATTCCCCTTTACTCTGGCTCCTTGTCCCTGTTGGTGAATGTGGACACATCTTAGATATTCTGGAAAAGTCTACCCTTGGACCAGGTTGCCCTATAGTTTTTATCGTATTTTAATTTTTGTTTTCTTTGCCAAATGCGGAGAAGTATGGCGTAGGCCTACTGTGACTATTTTAATCTGACTTCCACCTTTTCTATGCTTCTAAGTCACTTGTAACCTACATATGTTAAAATCTGTCAGCATTTTGCAATCCCTCCTTTTTATTTTTATTATTTGATGTTATTGTACACTCTTCTTTTCCTCAGTTATGTTTATAAAGTAGTATTTATTGTATGTGTATTTTTTCTAAATATCAAGGTAATCTATAGCTCCTCCCACCTTTTGAAATTCTCTTGTCTCAGCTTTTATGCTCTATTATGTACCACTTACCACCTTTCTCTCAGAGTGAGTCTCAGCCACTCTGGCAACTTTCCTGATTAAGATGTCATCATCTTTTTTTTATTTATCTTTTCCGTTAGAGAGAAGATGCTCCTATGATTTTAGTTGCGTATGAGACATTTCCCTACAAACAGACAACAAACAAAACTATGTCTTTAACTTTTAAGGCTTTCCCTGCCTTCTAGATTTCTGTTTATTTACGGAGTGCCTTTCACGTACCTGTCTTTAATATTGAATTATTAAGCAATGGAGATCTAATACATATAACATAAAATTTACCTTTTAAGGGTATACAGTTTAGTGGGCTTTAGTACTTTCTATTCACAAAATTGTACAACCATCACCACTATCTGATTACTGTATGTTTATAGTTACATAAAGAAAGAAACCCTTCAAAAAGAAACCCTGTACCTATCAGCAATCATACCCCATTTACCTCTTCCCTCCAGCTCCTATCAGCCTCGAATCTACTTTCTGTCTGTATGAATTTGCCTATTATGACACTTCATGTTAAGTCAGTTCATACAATATATGGCCTTTTGTGTTTGACTCTTTTACTTAGAATAATGTTTCCAAGTTTCATCCATATTGTGTATGTATCAGTACTTTATTCCTTGCTATGGCTGAATAATATTCCACATTTTATGTATCAGTTGATAGACATTTGGGTTGTTTCCGCTTTTGGCTTTTATGAACATTTATATGCAAGTTTTTGGGTAACTTATATTTTTAATTTTCTTGGGGATGGTAAGCAAGTGCTGAATGTGCAACACTTGATTGCTTGTTCATTTAGTAGTCATTTATTTCACTATGATTGCCCATAGCTTTCCTTAGATAATATCTTTAGATAGCTATGATGAGATATCTATCTCAGACTTCTTTACTTTGCTTTATTTTCCATTTTATCTTTGTTTATTTTGGGGTTCCTTCCTGAAATAAAATGTAAATTACTGGAGTCAATGGCTGATTAAATAATTATCTTTTTGCCTTTACTGCTCTAGTTTGCTAGCTTTCAAATAATAGGTGACTAGCCATTAGTGAGGTTATCATTGGTGTTCTGGAAATTTTATAATTGATAACTAGATTTGTAAATTGTTTTTCTAGTCCTCAGTTTAGAGTCAAAGATGCAAAGTGTAAGAGGGAGGGAATTCTTTGAATAAAATTATAATTAATTGTGTAATATGAATATATTTGAAAGTCATGCTTTTTGAAAGAAAAGATTTATATGATAATATGAAGGTGACTTTAATCCTAGGAGGAATTCTGTTTTACTAGCATACCTGAAAGCCTGCATCAATGGAAAAATACTAAAAACTGCTCATACAGTTTTCTCGTACTGTTTAGTTTGTTTTACCTTTGCTTTATGTGCACTTTGAGGGAGCCATCTTTGGGTATTTGTGTTACTAAAAGCAGCCTGATATGCATTTATAACTTTATCACCCCTGACATCAGTAATAGTTGGTAAGAGTTCTCTGAAATGAGCCCTGCTACTATGTGCCATCACCAGAAGCGACAAACTGATCTTCCCTCTTTATCCGTTTCCTCAGACAGGGTTAATTTAGAGTTGCTTACAATTAATTGCTGTAGTCATTCTTCAAGGGCTAGAAACAATTTTAGGAAGACTGTTAATACTAGCTTTTCAAAAGCCATTTCTGAGGAGCTGGTTTTAAATAAAAATTTAAAATAGAAATAAATGTTTGACTCTGAATATTTTTCTAGAAAAAGTAACTACTTGAGATTAAAAAAATAGTTCAAATTGGGATTGAGCTTTTTTAGTTTTAGCAGGTAAAGGTTTTAGTTTGGTTGGAGAATATTAACACTGAAAATAAATATTTTGCCAAATAATGATTTTTCCCCCTAAATCCTAAGATTTATGTTTATAGTAATAGTTATATTGGAATAGAGTAATTGTATTAGAAATTGTTAATTTTACCTGAAAAAACTTTTTTCCATTCATGCACTCTTGCAATCATCCAAGCATCCATCTTTACACCAAATATATATTTAGTATGTCATATATACCAGTACTGTTGAGACATTGAGGATATAGCAATGAATAAGACAAAGTTTCTGCCTATATGGAACTAGTATTCTATTACAGTTAATAAAAATGTATTTTAATTTTAGAAGAACTTAAGAAAAATTGGATATCTAGAGGCTATCAATTTCTAAAGTGTTCTCCCCCAATTTTTAGATCTAAATGTTAAAGAGAAAATAATCGAAGACATGCGAATGACACTAGAAGAACAGGAACAAACTCAGGTAGAACAAGATCAAGTGCTTGAGGCTAAATTAGAGGAAGTTGAAAGGCTGGCCACAGGTAAAACAAGATTGCATACATTTCTCTAAATATACTTTTTCATTAAAAAAAATTTTCCTAGATTGCTTCACGTGTTAAAGTAGTATGTATTTACAGTGATTCATAATGGAAAAGTATTTGATGTTTTTTGAATGTCCTATTACTTGTCATTTTCCACTGTGATGAAAATTGTTTCAGTAAAATTATATGCAGTAAAGAAGGAGTAAGGACAGTCCATGATAACTTACGAATTATAAATTGCAAGTTATGGATGATAACTTGCCATGTTCCCTAGATGTTAAGAGTACGCTTTGAACGAGTTTCACCTTTGTCAGGCTTTTAGCATTATCTTGTATGTTGATCTCAATAAATACTTTGATTTCATTGCTTTCAGAATACCATCAGAGTTTTTCTAGAGTATATGGAAAAATACAACATTTACAAATAAAAAAGTTATGTGTGATTTTTGTAGAAAGGGCAAGAAATTCAGAATTAAGAAATTGTCTATGCCATTTTATATATAACCTTGACAGGGTACTTGTGCTTACTCAGTCTAATTTTCCTCATCTGTAAAATGTGGTTGATGATGATAATGCCATATATACTGTTGCACATTATTCTTTTTTTGAAATCATCTGACTTGAAGATTCATATTGTACATTATTCTTGTCAAGATCAGATGAGATGAAAAAATGTAATAGTACTGTGTAAACCCTGAAACTCTTTTATAACTGTATTTTGGTGAATGAAATTGTGATGAGGATGAGGACAGTGAGTCTATGTGACTTCATACTTTTCTAGCCACTTTCATGGACATGGGAAACTTTTTTCTTGAGAACTGCATGAAGTTTTCTATATAATAAGGTTGATAATGAATTTATTATACTATACTGTGAATACTATTCATTGGGTTCCTGAGAAGTCCCTGTAGTTCCTCTTCACTAAGAATTTAGTAAGAATCCTAAAAGTTAAACTATAGAATAGCCTCAGTTCCATCTTGGTCTGTGTTCTTTATCTGGGCTGTACTGATTTGTGTCTGCAGCCCATGTCAAGTGTATCTCTACATGGTATAACTTTTGAGTATGCTTTAAAACATAATTTTATGTCTTCAAATCAGAATTGGAAAAATGGAAGGAAAAATGCAATGATTTGGAAACCAAAAACAATCAAAGGTCAAATAAAGAGCATGAGGACAACACAGATGTGCTTGGAAAGCTCAGTGATCTTCAAGATGAGTTACAGGTATGACTTTATATATGTTTTTATGTTTGTATGTGTCTGTCTTCATTATATTTCTAATAAGAGGAGAATTCAGTATTTTATGTATTTTATATTTTGTAATTAACTTAGATATGGGTGAAATAATACCTGGCAAATGTTAATATGTAAATATAACTTTTCAGGGCACATTGAAATGATATGGGGAAGAAATTCCAAGATACAACCTATTAAGTGCCATTGAAATATAGTGATTGGGTCCTCAGTTTTATATTTTACATATATAATTCTTAAACTACTGCTTCTAATGTCCTTGTGCCCATTTTTCTACTCCTTAAACTTCTTACTCATCAAATACTGCTGTGGAGAAAATGACCAGGACAATTATTTTGATTACTGTAAATCTCTTCAAAGTTTAATTATTAAATTGGAATAGAATTGTGTATCTGAACACTGACATACATATATAAAACTATACTATGTAGAAGATATTCTATTGTGTGTGTGTTTTTTTCTTGTTCAGTTTTAACATACAACATATAGGGGAAACTTTTTCATAGGATGTACCAAATACTGTTATATTTTGTACATTTTATTAGAAGTGGCATTCATAACAGAAGCTGTGGGATTGAAGGAAACATAATAATAATGGTTTTGGGAGATTGGCTGCATCTAATTTTTTTTTAAATTCTGGCTGTATATTAATCATATGCTGAAAACAAATACAAAAAACTACTTTTTTTGTTACATATTATATATTCTAAAATTTACCCTTTTCATTGTGAAATTCCAAAAGCAGTTAGAACAAAATAAATATTATGAAAAAAGTGTATCAACCATATTGAGAATGTTTGCATTCAAAAGTATTTGTGTATTTTGCATTGTTCTAAGATGATATAATCACATTAGTGTAGATTATAAACTTTGTAATCCTGGAGTGGACTGCCACACTTTGTAATATAGTGATTTTAGACATTTTCTTTTTTTTCTTTTTTTTTTTTTTGAGATGGAATCTTGCTCTGTCGCCAGGCTGGAGTGCAGTGGCGCGATCTCGGCTCACTGCAACCTCCGCCTCCTGGGTTCAAACGATTCTCCTGCCTCAGCCTCCTGAGTTGTTGGGACTACAGGCGCCTGCCACCATGCCTGGCTAATTGTTTTGTATTTTAGTAGAGACGGTGTTTCACCATGTTGGCCGTGATGGTCTTGATCTCCTGACCTCATGATCCGCCCACCTCTGCCCCCCAAACTGCTGGGATTACGGGCGTGAGTCACCGCACCCAGCCTAGAAGTTTTTTAAGTGGTATTACTGTTTTTATTTCAACTTAAGTTCTACTTGGGTTTTTTATATATAATATTAAATGCCTCTGAACCCAAAGAATCTGTGGTACCAGTTTGAAAATTACTGATCAGCAGTATTCTCTGTCCAGCTCTTCTGGATATTCTTTTAATAAATACCCTGTTGCACAAGTTATTTTTTATTTGGCATCTTGTAGGCCCAGGAATATTTTATTTTTAAAACTATCCAGTTAGAAATGACCACCATAAACAAAGCCTTTTTTATTGTTTTGGCATTTAGGAAGATTTGAGTCAGTTTAACTGTTTCAGAAATTTGAATTGTTTATTTTTTCTTAAGGTCACTGATAAAAGTATTTAAATGGACTTCAAAGCAAAATAAATTTATAAAGGAAATGTGTCCAGGAAAGCAAACCAGTTATTATTATTATTTTTAAATAATCTGAAACTTTGATCTTGTCATTATTTAAAGTAAAACATTTAAAGTTTTTGTAGAGGTGAAAAGTAATGGATTGTATGAAAATGTCATAGAAGCACGTATTGACTACTTTGTAGGCATGTGATAATAACTTATACCATTTATATATATAGGAATCCGAACAGAAATATAATGCTGATAGAAAGAAATGGTTAGAAGAAAAAATGATGCTTATCACTCAAGCGAAAGAAGCAGAGAATATACGAAATAAAGAGATGAAAAAATATGCTGAAGACAGGGAGCGTTTTTTAAAGCAACAGAATGAAGTGGTTAGTAACAATTGTATCTTTGATGTATTTCACCTGCTTTCCTTGGTGTGTTAAACGTATTTCTGGAATTACCAGTTTCTACATGGTTTTCTGTTTTTGGTTTTTTAAAGGCAGGTTATCATATTTATAAGATAACTTTTCTCTTCCAATTTATCTTGATATTCACTGACGTTCTTGTTTTAACTTGTTTCAGTTGATTTAGCATGTTGAGAGAATACCTTATTGCTTCTTACTGTCTAGATACTGAAGTTAAAAATCTCTTCCTTTTGACCGTTATGGAGTAGTCCCTATTATATTTTAAAACTTTTTGCATTTTGAACTGTAGATTCTAATATTGTGTACATTTTATCACATAAAGTCACCTAGTTTCTAAAAGACTGTATATATAGTAGAAATGACCGTCAGTTGTAAAATGACCTACAGTTTACCAGTTGTAGCTCTTGTAATGATTCTGTCTTAGCCTGTTCTTTTTTTCTAATTGGCACTTAGTCTATTTGACATGCAATGTTGGCAATCAGAAAAAAGAAGCTAAATGTTATTGTTAATCTGAGGAAATCTATTGAGCAACAAATATTTTAAAATGAAAAACCAGTGTCTGTAAAAATAGTAACTTGGCAGTATCATATTGTCATCTGTTGGCATTTCCTTTTTTTATGACTGCATTTGACTAAAGACAGTTAAACTTTCCTGTAAAAACTGGAAGATTTTCCTTCCTTCCTTCCTTCCTTCCTTCCTTCCTTCCTTCC